GTTTGTACCATCCAGGTTTCATAGATGCCACTTTTAAACCTTTTTAATTGAAACAAGGTTTATTCAATGTTTCAGGCCAAAAAAATAACCTGTTATCAACTTTCCAATAACATCCGGACTATGATTTCTAATAAGAACCTTGATTTTAAATCTTTAAATCACAAAGAAATAATGATTTCAGATCACAGTAATCTTATAGGATATAATAGTAAGAGTTAAATCATATATCACACATACAAATGTCATCCTTATATCCAAAGGTACACCTCTCCTCGATATGACACCTTTATCCCATGGTACACCTCTCCTTGATATGTCACCCTTATCCCATGGTACACCTCTACTTGATATGTCACCCTTATTTTCTTATCAAATCATTTTACAAAAATATCTCCGATTAGAACAGACCACAGTCTTAAATTTCTAATGGAATATTATCAGTTCAAAATCATTTTTGTCAAAATTCTCATTCTTTATCGTTAAAGAATATTAAAATGATTTATTTTGAACTAACACTTTAATCAAAATACAAACCGGTCAATTTAGCAAAGCTTTGGTCAATATAGACTTGGTCGATATAACAATGCGGACAACATGTCCCCTTGTCCGATTTACAAATCCGGACAACATATCCCCTTGTCCAATTTACAAATACGGACAACATACACTTGTCCGATTTATCAATCCGGACAACATTTAAAACAAGTCCGATCAAAGTGCAATCGGATTATACTATACCGGGTAAGCCTTTGATCGGTTTATATCTAATCCGAACAACTTATGATCGTATTCCTACTTCTCCATTCAAAAAACATTTATCCGGTTTACATAATTTAAAATCGCACCAACTCCTTAAACCGCACAATACTATAATTGGTTTAAGGCTAAATCGAACAACACGCATCCGATTTAACACCATCCGGACAATACTTGTCCTATTTAAAGCCAAATTAGGGTAAACTTTTATAACTCGAATCAATTATGCAATTCAAAGTACTTTTAAAACATTTAACCACTCACCTTCAATAATTTGCAAAAGAAATCGCTTGCTTCCAGTCAAATGGAGTAATCCGATCAACTCTTCTTTTTAGAACTCACTCTTAGTTCAAAATGGCAAGAAAAGAAGGATATGAGGGCCTCACCCCTCCTTATATACCCCTTTCCAAAATAAGAATGGCGGCTAAACCGCCTCTTACATGCATGCCCATAATCATGCATACACCCATAACCCATATTTTAATCACACAGGCATATAATAAACCATGCATACCTACAAATACTTTATGAATGCATATTTAAATCATGCATGTTATCATATTATGCATACATACTTATGCATAAAAATTCACATACTTGCATGATCAAATATATCAGTTTATCATGCTATCACGTAAACACATAATAAATAATCACGTATTAGTTACCTCGGGTGATAACCAAGAGCCGGTTATCACATTTAACAAGATCACGTTCTCCGAAAAACTTAGGAGGTTTACAGGAAAGAAACATCTTGATATCCCCTCCTTTTTATATCGACGATGAAGTTGGTGGTACAAACGTAGTTGTTACCGATGTACTGGTTCCAGATTCTTCCTGAAAATTTGGGTTCCTTTCTTCTTCTGGATTATTCTGTGCAAAACATCCTAGCAAATTAACCAAAATTTCCTGAAATGTTCCCAGTTTGACTGCCAACATTTTCTAGAATAAAATTAGGGTCATGAGCACGACCTCTACCCCTTGCTTTGCCTCGTCCATGACCTGACATAGAATTCTCTTGTACTGATAAATCATGTTCTGTATGGGCTTTTTGTTGAGTATTTCTTCCCCTTCCTCATCCCTGCTTCAACTTCATGTTTCAATGGTCATAGCATTTTTTGGGTCTACTTCTCTATTTATCATTCCTCTTCCCCCGGCCTCTTCCATGGCCAGTAGAAGTTCTTTCAGATCCATTAAGATTATCTACCATTCTTTCTTAAGATTCATGTTACTGTAAAATTCTTGCTGCCACAATAAACACATATACGGTTAATCACATCCCAAGTATGATAACATGTTTACCCAAAGATCAAGTATTTATAACTCAAGATTACATTAATCTCATGTAATCTAACTCTATCATACTTATCATCATAATAGGTTCAAGCATCACACATTCCCAAGTCTATAATCCTAGTGGACCCTATTATCACATATTCCACACCTCTAGTTTAAGTTTGAGTATCAAGATAGTACCCCAGATATCTTAAACTAAGGCTCTGATACCAACTGAAACAACCCAACAAGTACAAAATTGTACTAATATACAAAATAATATCATACATCTCCACATTGTCCATACCAATGTTATACAAACATTCCAAGGTTATTTACATGACAAAATAACAATATGGATTAACAAAAAAATTTGGTCATAATAACATTTTCTTGCAAGTTCTTCCTTCTTACATTTTTCCCTTGCCTTTATCCTGAGATGATAGATGATCTGCAAAACAGTTTAATACAATAATTGAGGGTTAGACCAAAAGGTCTAGTGAGCGAATTACCCTTTTATAAATATAATTTATTTCAAAACCCAAGATAGATCATCCATGAACCTTAATGTTATATTTCATCTATCGCAGTTACACCGTTATTTCATCTATCGCAGTTACACCGTTATTTCATCTATTGCGGTTACACCGTTATTTCATCTATCGCGGTTACACCGCCATTTCATCTATCGCGGTAATTATATCCAGGCTAATAACTGATCCAACCGAACAACATTTTAACCAGTACTTTAACTTTATCCAGTACTTTAACTTTATCCATACAACAAACTATCCGGAAAGAGTTCATTGGTCATACTTAAGCCTTGTTCGGACAATACATTATTCGAAAAGGGTTATCGGACAATCACTTTGTATCCGGATAACTTTGATCGGTGAGGGGTTTTCTCCGAACATGCCTTGATCGGTAAGGGGTTCTATCTGGAAATGCCTTAATCGGTAAGAGATTCTATCCAAACAACACGTATTCGGTGAAGGGTCCTTACCGGCTGACCTTGTGTGCGATTAAGTGGCCACATCGGTCACTGCTTATCCAATGAGGGACCTTATCGGACAATCTTTGTCCAGTGAGGGTTCTTCTTGAGAGATGTATTGAGCGATAAAGTAAAATAGTAGCAGTGAATGTAATTTTAATCAATCCAAAGTACTATGGAACTCACATTTGCCTTAGAAAAAATTGCTTTGAAATGCTTCTGCTTTTAGATCAACTCACCCAAAATAATATGAATAGTAGAATGGAAAAATGTGTGTAAACCTTTTCTTGCCCACATCTGCTTACTATTTATAATAAGCCGACTTTAAAGGTGGGGGTGCCTACCATGCATCCTCCCTTTCCATCAATTCATTCACCCAAAAATAATTTATAATATATATATATATAATGATATTTACCTAAACGAATTTAAAAAAAAAGAACCATAGATCGATTCTTCTCCAACCCTTGAATGACAACAATTAACCCCGAACTTTCCATTACCACATAACCTTTAAAACCCATCAACTATAATCTGACAACCGAATATTACAAAAGGTCTTTAGGAGAAAACCCGTAAAACAAAGTCAACAATGGTGGGAAAGAGTTGGAGAAGATGAAGATGATATTGAACTCCTAACCCCGATACTTGAATTTCTAGCTCCAAGACTCTTTAATCTACAAGAAGAAATCAATTTGGAGAAGTAGAAACTCAAGAACCAAATAAGAGAGAGAAGTGAGTAGGTTAGCAAAAATAAAGAGAAAAAGTGGAAAATCTCGTATTTAAAAGAACTAGGAGCTCAAAATTTTCTACACAAACTCCCTGGCATGAAGAAGTTTTCATGGACGTGAAGGCAATCTCCCCGGGCGTGAAATCATTCCAGAAAAATAAATTAGCTTGATTTTCACCCAAAATATTATACCAACTCAAAGTATACACCAAGAGTTATTCTACGGTTGAAATATAAAATATGAAACTCAAAAATAAACATACCGAATATCCGGGTGTTACATTAAACATTTAGACTAAATTATACTACATAAAATAAGAACTTGATCAAAGTCTATTACATTTTTATTTATGTTCATATTTAAACTTGATAAGCTTAATTATTTGAGAACTCCATAACTTGTGATAACCATGAGAACTTATATCATAAAATATTGGTTCACGTGATTTTTTCTCGTCTAAGACTAGCATATAATGTATTGATAAACATATATTTGTTCCACAATGTGTTTGCTTCATATGTATATGGTTCCCAACATGAAACTTTTGTTATGTGTGACTTATGTTTCACAAATAGGTAAAAAAATGTTCACATTATAAAACAAATATATGTTAGTCAATATTTTAAATCCTAATCATAGGTTAAAAAATCATATAAAATAACACATAATGCACTAGTTATTAAAATTATTACAATTTCATGAGTTTTCAAAAGAATATCACTCTTCATCCGGGTACCTAAATATTTAAAGACTATGTAAAACATGAAAATGAAGATATTTTGAATATGTTACATGAATAAAATACAATTCATTTTCATATAATGTTTTTCTTTAAAAAACTTTTCAACTCCAATGACGGTAAGGAGGTTGCTATTTGTTACTATAATGACGTCATTATAAAAGTATTAAACTAAAAAGAAAAAGTGTTTGATATTTAAAAAAACAAAATAAAAACAGATGAATCTTTATATTATAGGACAATGAAAGGAAAAAAGAAGAATAGGAGACCATCTTATTCTCCCAAAAGGATTAAATTATCCGTAGCTTGTCTGATTCGATGCTCTTCATTTCATATCAACTGAAAACTAAATTTTATCGAAATAAAATATATATTGTTTTAGTTTTTATTTTGAAAAATCAATTTTTTAATGAAATAAGTGCATTATCTTTTTCATACAATCAAAAAAATAAAATAATACATAAAGGAAAAACCATTTTTGAATCTTTTTTTTTTTTGTTTTATCATATATTGTTCCTTGAAATAAATTGTCGTAACCAACAAATTCATGTTTTAATAACCATTGCTTCAGGTTAATAACTTTCTTCTCAAAAGTTATATACACGACAAGAAAAACGCAAATGAGTTCTGATTGGATGCCACAATCGGTTGCCAAAAAAACATCTAGTCGCTTATTTAGAAATGTCAGTCCCTTGTCGTTTCTTTTCATGTTCCTATAAACGTGTACATTTCGGCTTAATTAGCTGATCACCATGAACCCTTTTTCATCCTCATGTTCCGTCACCATCTCAAAAACCAAAACCGAATTTGTTAGCCTTTCCGCTCTCAAAGCCTCGGCTTCCCAGTCGGTGAGAACAACCACCGAGTACAAAATTGAAACCGCACACGCAATTTGAGCGGACAAGAGACCGATCCATAGACCAATGAAGCCAACGTTGAAGTAAAAGGCTAGGCCCACGGCTACAGGGGTGCCGACAAAGTAAAAGGAGCCGAGGTTGATACGGGCACCAACGGCAGGTCGGGCTGTACCACGGAGGATGCCACAACCGATGGTTTGAGGGCAGTTTCCCAGCTCGCACAGACCCATGATGGGCATGACGGACGAAATGAGTGATTGAATCATGTGGTCATGGGTGAAAATGGCACTCCATTTGTACCTAAAGACCACGGTCCAGATGACATTGATAAAACCGACTAAGAAAGCACACGATAAAGCCACCATTGCAGCAAGCTTGGCCTTGTTTGGCCTCCCAGCTCCCAGCTCATTACCCACCTTACAAACACACGTACCAGCATTAGCAAAAAGTAATTCCGTAGAACCTTGAAAGTGTTGCTTTCGAATGCCTAAATAGAATTCAAATGATTGAACAAAATCGTACCCAAAAACCAGAAATAAGAAATACTTGAGAATTAAAATCAACCATGTCTATAAAAATAAAGATATCTTGAAGAATTAAAAATCAATTAAGAAATCTAAAATAAAAATATAATGTCTACAAAAATCAACAACTCTTAAAGAAATAAAAATACTCAACAACGTTGTCTACAAAAATCAACTCCTCTTAAAAATTAAATTCAACTAAATCATATCCATCCTTGAAAAGAACATCATCTGAATTAATATGTAAAATTATTTACAAACACTTTTAAATGAATAAATAGCAAAAAGGAGAGAGAGAGAAATCTTAAAAATTGGGTGTTTGGGATTGATTATAAAAACAACTCATTGATTTATACCGGTATCAAACTGGAATAATAAATAATTTTGAGTGTTTGGATAATCAACTTATACCGATGTTAAACTGGTAATAAAGAGTTTTTAAAAAAGTTAAACTCTTCTAACTTATAATAAGTTAATAAGAATTTTTGTGAAAAAACATAAGTTATTTCAAATAATAAATCTTGAAAATTAAATCAAATCAAATAAACCATATTATACACAACCAAGTGACCATGAAAGAAAGAAAAAAAAGCGAATTCAATTAACAAGAAGAAAAATAATTGAAAACTAAAATCAAATGAATGGCATCCACTAACTACAAAAATCAAAAAATCGTCGATATCGAATCAAAAGACAAGGAAGCATATTTTATATTAATATATAATTGTCCCATTCAAAAGTAGATATAATTTATAATGCCTTTTATTGAAGTAATAGATTGATAGAGAATAATAATCATGAGATTCGCATGAAACTTACTCGGGCAGAGACGCAACCAGCCAAGGCCATGGGAACAGTGTACATGAGACTCGTTGTCTGGATGAGTATCCCAGTGGCTGCCACCGCCAGTTGTGGATTGGCCAGATAACCAGCAAGGACGGTCACGATCTCATACCACCACCACTCCAAACATATACCCATACAACTCGGCACAGCCAATCTCAGCAACGCACTCATCCCATCCGTCCATTTCCATGTCCACCTCCATCTCCCATACACCCACACATACCCTGCCATCAGCACCATCATGTGTAGGTTCGTAAGCACCGAAGCCATTGCCACCCCGCTCACACCCAATCCCGTCACCACCACTAACACATAGTTCAACGGCACGTGGAACGCCACTGCCACCAGGCTGCACCACATCATCGGCTTCGTCACCCCCTGTGACCGTAGATAAACTCGCAGCGGCTGCAACAGACAGTTTGTTATCAGGTCAGGCAAGGAATACATACAGTACGTCGCAGCAGTTGACGTGATCGCTCCATCCTGTCCCATCCAAAGCATGATGGGTCCGAGGTTCACCCATAACAGGCCGATCGGTATGATCGCCATCAGTAGTATGAAGATCATCCGGAGTAGAGATGCAGATAATTGCTCCCACTTGTTGACGTCGTTGCTACCGTACGCCTGGCTGCATACGGGCTCTAGCCCTGACGCCAGTCCGACTAGAACCGAGTAGCCGGTGATATTGGTGAAACCCAACGACAACGAACCGCCGGCGAGCTCCAGACTGCCCAGCCTGCCGAGGAAGAGCACTGATACTACGGCTCGAAGATAAACGAGACAGTTCATTGCCGTGATTGGGATAGCCATAGACAGTAGTTCCTTCAATTCTTCCATCACCTACATGCATGTATTACATCAAATCAGATCAAATCAGACAAATTAAAAATAAAAACAATACAAGAACAGAGTTCTTCAGATTAACCTGTGAGGAGGTAAACACTTTATTGTGATTGGACTGTGGCTTAGAATCCTTCATTATTTCCATATCTTAATGAAGCAGGTGAATCAATCTGAATAAAGTAGGTAGATAAATGAAGATTCACAGAGGGTTTTCTTGCTCAGATGACCATTCTTTAGTCGCACACCATCAAATATAGTAATAGAGTTGGAGATGATGATTTTATGTCAAAGGGAGAGGGTAGAGATAGCAACCTGGCGAGGGAGATGGGTGGATTGGGGGATGGCGAGGCGGAGGAAAGTTGGTGTAGAATAGAAAAGAGTCCAAGGGCACATATTTTAATGTGTAAGCTTTTTATTCGTATACAGAAATAAATATACATCTTTTGAAAATATTTTATGTGCGTAAATATAATAATAATAAATATAATAATAATGATAATAATAATAATAATAATAATAATAATAATAATAATAGTAGTAGTAGTAGTGTTGTTAGGTATCATATTCTCTTGCCTTTTATATATCATTAAAATGTTTTTTCCTTTAATTATAAAAATTGACTTTCTCTTTTTGTTAGAATACTTATAAATTTTAATACATCTTTTATAATTTCTTTGGGAATCAAGAATTAAAGTTACTAAACAAAATTAAATTCATCTCTAACAAATTTTCTGTTGTAAAAATTTATTATGAAAATTGATAACTCTTATTTTAAAGAGTTATTTCTTTTTTATTTTCTTCTTTTTTGTTATTATTAAATACTTAATTTTTTTTGTTTTTTCTCTTTTATTCCAAAAAGTTTTAAAAAGATGATGAAAACCTATATTTTTCTGACAGAACTGTTCACTGTATTACCACTGTGGGATGTCTACGAGCCTTGTTGCTGCTTCTTGGGAAACGTGCAGCTTGAAGATTTTTCAATATATTTTCTCCAACTGTATATGAGTTGTCTCCCTTCTTCTGTTTTATTTTTATTTGTATTTTTTTAGCCTTGAATTAATTACCCTTAAGGTAATGATTGGGTGTACTTGCTCCCTTCCTCTCCCCTATATAAAGAGGCTTGGGAGTCATTTTGAAGACACACCACCAACACCATGCAAGACACGAAATTCCTTTTGTGTCTCATTCTCTCTTTCTTTTAGTATTATTATGCTTTTAACTATTGTTTTTAATTTATGTCTTTAATTTCTAGTATTTTATTTCCTTGTACTTGTAATTTAGTTTTACATTAATGCAATTTATATTTCAGTATTATTTTATTTCTTTAATTATTTTTAATATGTCTAGCTAAATTACTTGTATGAGTATGAGTGTGAGTTTAACTTAGGATGTTTATATAATATTTAAGTGTTTTTATCTTTTTTCACTTCGTGACTTGGTCACTTCAGACGGTACTTAAAATGCGGATAAGCTGATCACTTGGAAGTGTTAATATTAGATCTTAGACCCAGAGATGGGCGGATCCGAAATACGGCTTAAGTGATGCACAATGAACTCGAGAGGCTCTTTGAATAATTGCGTGGAGACACGAATTTTGTATGCATCTAGCTAGGGGTTAAACAATAAGTATTTTTATCACAAAGAGATTTGGGTAAGAATCGCATTCTTTTTACTTTTTAGTTAGATCGGCAAGTTTCGAAGTAGTAAATGTAAAAACCTTATGGAATTTTATGAGGCCCGGTTATAAAAGTTCACTTTCGAGAGATTGGAACTTTTATAAACAACTCGTAAAAGTCTAACCATTTTATTGTTAATTTTATCTTAAGCAACACTTGCACCCATGCCCATTGTTTAATATAAAAGTTTATTTCGTTATTTTCCTAGTCGGTCCTATTTCGGTCTTTTTATAAACAAAAATCCAACTTATTTTACATCTCGAAACTCGTGCAAGAAGTTCATGAAAAATCTTTGAATCTGAGTAATACCTTCTCTGTGGGAACGATCTCAGTACTTTGTACCACTTTATTACTTGCAAGCGATCATAATGTCGGCGTGCATTTGCACCGCCACTGTGGGGACTTTCTGTCCACTAGGTGAACACGAACGATCCTAGCCTGTCAAGTTTTTTGTGCCGCTGCCGGAGAAAGTAACGTGATTTTTATCCTAAAATATTGATTTTTCATTTGAGTCTTGTTCTTTTGTTTCACTCGTACTTTCCGTGTTGTATGCCAAGGCTACAATACGGTGAACTTTTACCTCTTGATCTTGAATTAGAAAGAACCATTAAAAGACGTAGAAGACGTAGAAATAATCGTAACCGTACCATGGGGGATAATCCACCTCCACGGGAGGGCACGACTAATATTGCCGATGATAAAAATAGAGGCATACGGGACTACGCAACTCCCGAATTCGGTCAATTGGCCGCGGGAATAGGTAGGCCCGAAATGACAGCTACAGCTTTTGAACCAAAACCCGTAATGTTCCCAATGATTTCCGCAATGGGTCAGTTTGGGGGATTATCATCGGAAGATCCGCACTCACATTTAAAATCTTTTATCGAAATGACGGATCATTTTAAAATTCCCKGAGTYACACAAGAAGCCTTACGCTTAACGCTTTTCCTTTACACATTGAAGGATAGAGCTAGAGCATGGCTAAATTCTCAACCACCAAACTCGATCCTAACTTTGAATGATTTGGCGAAAAAAAATTTAAAAAAATACTTTCCTCTGATGAGGAATGTAAAAATTAGAAATGAAATCATGACGTTTCGACAAGAAGAAGATGAAGTGGTTTCGGATGCATGGGAGAGATTTAAGAACCTTCTACGAAAATGTCCTCACCACTGAATCCCTCATTGCATTCAATTGGAGATATTTTATAATGGTCTCTCCAATTCTGCTAAAATTATTCTTGACGCAACGGCCGGTGGAGCGTTCACAGCTAAGACTTACAACGAGGGATATGACATTTTGGAACGAATTTCAAATAATAATACCAAATAGTCAAATCCTCGTGATGTTGTTTCTAAGTCTGCTTCTTGCATCCATGAAATTGATGTCATCTCTGCTTTAAATGCTCAAATTGTAGCTTTAACTAATTTGGTTAAAAACAATTTACGTTTGAATGGAGAGAATAATCAAGTTCAATCCATAATGTCCAACCCATCTATGACTGAATCTTGTGTCTTTTGCGATCAGGACCATTCTTATGAATATTGCCTCGGAAATTCCGTCTCGGTGAATTATGTTGGGAGTCATTGCTGAAATAGCCCATTTTCTCCCACATATAATTCAAATTGGAGGAATCACCCCAATTTTTCTTGGACCGGAAATTCTAGACTTCAACCCCCCGGGGTTACTCAAGTCCAAAATCGGCCACAAAATCCCCCTGGATATRGGCAAGGTGCTTCGCACAATTACCAAAATGGACAATCCTCACACTCACACATGCCTAGGCAAAATGCATCAGACAGTAATGGTTCACTCGAATCATTACTTAAAGGTTTTATAAACCAAACCAATGCAACGTTAAGAAATTTCAAAACCCAACTCGGCCAATTTGCCGCCGATCTCAAGGGTAGACCTTTAGGAACTTTGCCTAGTGACACGTAAACCCTGAAGGGTAAAGAACATATCAAAGCCGTGACCGTGTTGAGTGAGGAGAGTTCAAAAGTCAATGATGATATAAGTGAAACCGTCGAAGAACCGACACATCAAAACGAGGTTTCACATGCTTTTGATATGTCAAAATTTCCAATTTTGAATCCTTCCACGGAAGAAACTCAAAAATCTGTTTATGTCTAGAAAACAACCCCTGTTTCAGCTTCCAATATTGTGCAGCTCTCTACTGAAAAGTCCGACAGTGGAAAGATTGTGCCCACTGTCCAACCGACTAGATCTGTTCAACCAACTCCAGATTTACAGAATTTACCTTTTCCAGAAAGAATGAAAAGCAAAAATGTGGACGAGCAGTTTAAGAAGTTTTTGGACATTTTTAAACAAATCCACATCAACATACCTTTGGTAGAAGCTCTCGAGCAAATGTCAAGCTATGTTAAATTTTTAAAAGACATTTTGCATAAAAAGAGAAGGTTGAATGAGTTTGAAACGTTGCTTTGACCAAAGAATGTAGTGCACTCTTTACTTGTAAAATTCCTCCCAAGTTAAAAGACCCGGGAAGTTTTACCATCCCATGTTCTATAGGAGGAAAAAAAGTAGGTCATGCCCTATGTGATTTTGGGGAAAACATTAATCTTATGTCATTGTCAGTTTTTAACAAGCTAGAAATAGGTGAAGTCCGTCCAACGACTGTGACTTTACAATTGGCGGATAGGTCCATCGCATATCCTAAAGGTAAAATAGAGGATATTTTGGTCCAAGTCGATAAATTTATTTTTCCGACCGATTTTCTAGTTTTGGACTATGAAGCTGACAAGAATGTCCCAATCATCTTAGGGCGACCTTTTCTTGCAACTAGGAGAACATTAATTGATGTGCAAAAAGGAGAGTTGATCATGAGAGTTAGAGATCAAGAAATGAAATTTAATGTGCTTAATTCCTTTAAGTTTCATGGAGAGGTAGGCGATTGTTCTGTCATATCTTCTTTAGGTGAAGATCTAGAAATAAGTTTGATTGACGTTACCTACAAAAATAACATTGGGGAAAATCTTGAGGATATTTTGGAAGAAAATGATGAGTTGGAAGATTTGGAAGATTTAGCGGCATTTGAGCAACTTGACTTTAAAGATAGAATTGTCCAACCACCATCCATAGAGAAAGCTCCCGAGTTGGAGTTAAAGCCACTACCTAGTCACCTTAAGTATGTTTATCCTATGGAGGAGGAAAAATTACCCGTAATTATTTCTTCGAAATTAAGTAATGCGCAAGAATTGAGGTTGATAGAGGTATTAAAAGCTCACAAAAGAGCCATAGGTTGGACCATCGCATATATTAGAGGAATTAGTCCCTCCCTTTGCCAACATAAGATTATCTTGGAAGAAAATAGAGTTGGCAAGGTGCAACCGCAAAAGAGACTAAATCCCATTATGAAAGAAGTTGTGAAGAAAGAAATCTTGAAGTGGTTAGACGCGGGTATTATATACCCCATTTCTAGTAGCGGATGGGTAAGTCCGGTGCAATGTGTACCGAAGAAAGGTGGAACCACAGTTATCACCAATGAAAAAAATGAGCTCATCCCTACTAGGATCGTCCACGGATGGCGAATTTGCATGGACTATAGGCAATTGAATCTAGCAACCAAAAATGACCATTTCCCTTTGCCCTTTATTGACCAAAT